ATATATCTATATATATATATTCTTATGATAACATTGTGATGGACTTTTGCTGTCCTGAATTTTCTACTTTCCTTAAAAACAGGAATGTCTGACTTTCACCACAAATGACAAGACACCCTTAGTTAGATAATACTGGATGGGGACTCTTATGCTTTTATATACAAAGGAATCAAATCAGAAGGGAGAAAGAAGAAAAGTAGATAAAAGATATTGGAAAGAAAAATGTGAGTGTAGTCTGGCCATTTCTTGTCCACCTCTAACCCTTTATCTTCACTCCTGCCCCTTATAGCAGTAACAGTGAAACTTCTGGGAAAGGTTTGTGGAAGACAGAATCAAGTATTTTGAAATGAGATGCAAATTAAACTGCATTATGAGTTGAAAATCAGAGCTTTATCTTCTCTGAATCCTAAGCCTTCACTTTTAGCGAACAGGCATCAAAGTTACTTTTTGAAAAGAAGACAAAAAACCCCCCACAAACAACCCCCAAAATGAATTAAGCATGTGACAAGCACTAATTCAAACAAATATAAAATAAACTAATATCATATTTGAAAATGATGAAGCTAAATAAAACCTATTACTTCTGTAAAATTGTAGTGTCTTACTGGTTAGGTTTACTTCAGTTATTTATTTGTTTCATTTTAACTCCTAAAAAATCAGGATAGTGCTGGATATGCAGGTTGTTCTCAATTTCTGCTTTTAGCACTGACATCCTGAAGCTTTAACACAGCTTCGGTCCCTCTACACTGAATCCTGTTTCAGAGGAAGTAATAACATGAAATTCCAGCTATTTTTAGTTGCTTATGATTAAGGCTAAAATTATTCAATATGAATAAGAAGTTAAAAGTGCTGGTATTGTGGCATTTTTTTTTAAAATAAGTCTGGTAGTTCTTGTTCATGTTGGTTAATTTTACCAATTCAAGACTCAAAGAGATTTTTCTCCAACTAGGAAAATGTCATGTTTCCCAACTAGACAAAAAATTGTGTTCTCCCATTCTGTCATAAAGATTCACCCATATATGAAGCAGTAAATGTCTTTGCTTATCATAAACAGAAGAAATTTCTATATACCCTTTGTAAAATGCTACATACAAATAAATGCTGGGCTAAGACATAAGGAAACTTAATCAAAATTCCATGTTGCTTCAGGGTAGTTATATGCGAAATGAAATTTTCATTATATTGAAAGCTCCATTCTGTAAATATTTATTTATTTTCAAAATTGCCAACATATTTGAAAAGTTTAATTGGTTTATACTCCAGGCACTGGAGTAAAAAATTTTTCTTTCACAAGATATTTATGTGGATTTATTCTGTTCGTGTACAGTAGTTCTTTTAAGTGATAATGAAATTTAATGTGAAGTGAAGCTATCCTAGATATGATCCTAATAACCAAATTAGAAGGAAATTAATCAATAACCCATCAATCATTTTCATCACTGTACCTTTCTTTTCTGATTTGTCGGAAATTTTTCCTCCAATGGGAGAGTAAGTAGTATCCATGGACTCGGTCCCTGTGTTCCCATTGCTAATTCCATTCGCATAGATCTGTCCAACTGGTTGCAACTGCCAAGTCAGGCCGAACAAATGTACTGCTGCAAGAAAACAAGGGTATATTAACTTATTCTGACTCACTGAGAAGGCCTTCAGACTTGCTATCCTTTTGTATCTGAAAGTCTCATAATGACTTTTATTTAGGACAAGAGACTCGAAGTTTATACATACATCATATATGTAGCTGGTTTTTCAAGTACTGGTGCTAAACCACCGAGGCGAAAGCTACCTCATGGATAGTTTTAGAAATTGGAGGCTTAGTTAGCTAATTATACTGGGATTTCACTCAGTTCCTCAGGGCAGTGACCTCTTCTGTTTCTGTTTGTCTTAGTCATGTAAGTCTAGTTTACATTGGAAACCACTGCAGAATAATGTGGATAGGCTAATACCAACATAAGAGAACTTCCCTATAGCTCTCTGACTCAATTCAATTCAGCAAATATTTACTGAATGCCTAATAGGCATAAAGTTTTCATAGCTACTACAGGTGTTAAAAATTAGATGCCTATTTGTGTAGGATTTGGTAGTATTAAAAGTACAAAATAACCATAATATTATGCAGTAGAATTGATGTAATATAGAATTGACGTAATATAGTTTCCTATCAGAAGATTAAAAGATACTTGGTAACGACACTATGCAGGAATATGGGCACACATATATTCTGGATGAAAATGTTAGAATACAATGAATTTCTGGTAAGGCTTTGTGACATCATTTATAAAAAATATAATAATCAAAAACCTTACATTTTGACTTGTCCTTTGAGTCAAAAAATCATTTTCTAAGAAACTATTATGAGTGCACTTCAGATTTTCTATACTAATATCTTAGAATAATATTCAAAAGTTATGAAGGGGGCTGGAGATATGGCTCAGAGGTTAAGAGCACTGACTGCTCTTACAGATGACCTGGGTTCGATTCCCAGCACCCACGTAGCGGCCATAAACCGTCCTTAATTCCAGTCCCAGGGAATCCGAAACCCTCTTCTGACCTCCGCAGCACTGTATGACACAGGTGCACTTACTTACATTCAGGCAATATACTCATACACATAAAATAAAAAATAATAAATAAAAATTAAAAATTAAAAAATGTTATGAAGTAGGTGTATGTGCATGTCTTCATGCCTAGATGAAGAATGTGTTGGAAGAAACATGTTAATGGTTTGGGGGGTGCTATGGAGGATTTCGATTTTTTCTTTATGATTTCTGTATTTTCTATATTTTAAAAAATATGTAAAATGTTTGTCAACTGAATAAAAGTGAAATCTCTTTTTTAAGAAACAGATTAGCCATTTTTTTTTTCTGTCTGGGACTAGGATGAGAACTGTTACTTGAATATCCTGACAAGTGCACCTCTCACCACTCATTCAAGAAACTTCTTTTTGCAACAGATGGAGACTATTACAGAGTTCCACAACTGATCAAAAGCAGAGAAATTGTCTGTGAGATTCCCAGCCCTAAGTGACACATCTTCAATGCCACCTCTACACCTAAGGCTCACGGAGCATTTTGGAAGAGGGGGCAGAATGAATGTAAGAGTCCGTGGGCTGAGACTCCTGCTGCCAGTTAATACATTCTAAACATGATAGGGAAGGTGCACTAATGAAATCTCCATAATATGCTAGTCTAATGAGATCTGCATAATGAAAAAAAAATCAGTTGACATGCCAAGGTGGATGGGGGGAATGCCTTGGAGTCCCACCTCAAGATGTAGAGCAACAGGCAATCAATAGATGCTGAGGGAGGCAGAATTAGTTTTCTCCAGAGACTAGCTCCCTGAGAGGATGTCTATTCCCAAAATTGGCAGCCCTAACCACAGGCATGCAGTAGTACCACTAAATGGACTTAAATGGACTCAGTGTATGTCATGAATATATCTCACAATAATAATCAAAGAAGATGATAAGAAATTGAGAGGGAAGGGGGCATGGTAAGAGTTGTTAGGGCACTTGTAGGAATGGAAATAAAACAAAGAAAACACTCATGTATGAAGAAATAAATTTAAAAAAAGATTAAAGGAAAAATCAGTTAAATTTGACCAGGTTGATCAAGAATGATTTTCTGAAGGGATTAGTATTAGAGATGGGATTTCAAGTTTGTGTAGTCCTTTCCACGATGACACCAATGGGCTGGGATAAGGAGAAGAATTAACAAAATATGGCTCTGTAATATACAGAATGTGCTAACAACAAGGGAAGTTGTTAGGGTTCATTGGAACTTAGCTATGATAGGCGACCAATGTTAAGGCCAGAATGTGGCATTAAGGCCATATCTCACAGGACTATGAGTGGCACATTGAGTTATTTGGACTTAATTTATTAAGCAAGAGAAATATTGTAATTTTCTGAGCAGATCAATGATATGATCAGTTTTGTTTAGGAAGTTAAACTAGATAGCAAACAGCATTATTGAAGGCTTTCAGACAACTAAATGATATTAACACAATACCCTTTACAGTAAGATAAATCTAGTAAGAATGTAAAGTAGGATGGATTGCGGACCTAAAATATGTATCAAACAGATGGGTCTGTAATAATGTGGGTGAGAAGTAATTGTTTTTTTCATTTTAAGGTTGTGTCACAAGAGTGTCTTAATGATTGGTAGTGGGAAGTCAATTAGATTCCTTAAGAACCTTAAGAAGAAATTGTAGAGATGGCATCTTAAGATTTGGAAATAAGCTATCTGTGTGTTCATAATGTGTGTGCCTGTGCCTCTGTGTGTGTGTGTGTGTGTGTGTGTGTGTGTATCTCATGCAGATATAGAGGTATACTAGGGAATCCTGGGAAAAGGAGATGGACTTATTAAATTATTTATTCAAAATGGCTAAGATTTTGAGCCACAGTAAATGAAGGAATGGCTGATCAATGAAAATATTTAGAGGATTCCTCACTTAGCCAACAAATAATTGGCACTGGATTTGTTTTATTGAATGATGACTAGTTGAACATACGTTTTGAGGTGAGATAAGAGGAATGAAATAAATTCAGGGGTTGGAGATATGGGAGTTCCAGGGACTGATGATACAGATAATAATGTTACCTACAAAAAGTTTGAAGTAATGAAGAAATATTAAAGCTGAACAAGGCTGTAATAACATGCATGCATGGAGTTAATGAAGGGAAAGAATGCTAGGAGAACACTGCCCAAGGCAGAAGTTGGAGCTATACTCATATTTTTTTTCTCAAATAAACACTCCTGAAAGGCAAAGAAGAAAAAAAGTGATTCTGTTCATAAACCATCTCACATTTTCCTTCATGTTTTTTAGCAGACTGAAAGAGTTAATTTGTACTTTTAACACTCATATGTAATATGCATTGGTGACTGAAAACAAAGTAGTCAGGTAGCCCATTTAAAAATCATTCATCCACTTGTAGTTGGAGCTAAAGAGATTAATAAAAACTTCTTTCTAATTTATCTTTTAAAACTTTTAAACATTTTCTTTGGATTAAAGCCAGGCTTGCTTGATGAATTTCTCTTCCAATTATTGGAAATAATTGAAATCACAGAATAATGGTTCTGAGTAAAAATGTGGCATATTAATAAAGCTATATTAGTGACATTGGTGAGATTTTCTTGCCAAAGTATTAAAAATTTGGTTACAATTATTGTCCCAGTTAAAGATATTTATAAGTATTATAAAAACTGGTCTATTCTTGCTTTCCAGATAAATTTAATACTATTGATATTACAAACCATATTAAAAATGTTTCATTTCCTTGGTTCGATTACTTTTCTGAAATTAGATGGGCCATATATAACAAGAGGCATAATGGATCTCATTTTGACGACCAAGAGAGCTATTTTATGTACTTTATTTAAGATATACCACTTTCCTGAGGACACTAGAAAGTGAAAAAATGCATGTGGTGAGACATTCATTTCAAAATATATAAGGTAAGGATTTATTTTTCACTGTGAGAAGAAATAGAGTACTTCCAACCAATCAAGGCAGGCAGAGGTAAGGGTACATTTATTAGGACACCCTTTGACAGCATTACACTTTTTAAAGTGCATTATGTTTCTTTGGGAGCAAGCTGTCTAGAATGTATATTTTTATGAATATATAATGAAAATTAACTTGTTATAGATCAATGGTACCAAGTCAAGGTGACTGAGCTTTTCTGTTTTTCAAATTGAATTTCCATATGCTGAGGTATGAAAGGATGCCCAATAGTACACAGATGTGCAGAATAGACTGGTCAATAAAGTACCCCAGGTTTAGTTATTAGAAACAATAATGGTTTGCTGTCACTAAGACAATCAATAAAATTGTGCTGCTTCGTGGGATATATCAACACACCGCTAGAAAGATCTGGTAGTGGTTCTCATATGGGGATTACCTGTTGATTTATCAAATATTTTCAAAACACATGTCAAGCACACAGGGAATGTTGGAGAGATGGGTAGAAAACAGATAGGACTGGAAATCATCATATTAAGTGATTTAACCTAGACTCAGAAATACAAATACATGTTTTTTTATATGAACATTTTAGATTTTGACATATATACATATGACATCAAAGCTGAAGCAGAGGAACGTGACCAGTAGGAGGAGGACCAGGTGAGAGAAGATGGGAGTTGGGAATTAGGATCAAGAAACTAAAGAATGAGGCTGGTGAGATGGCTCAGTGGTTAAGAGCATTTGTTGTTCTTGCAGCAGACCTGGGCTTGAATCCCAGCACCCATATGGTGGATTACAATGGTTTGTAACTTTATTTCCAAGGGAATCCGATGCCTTCTTCTGTCTTCCACAGGGACTGCACGACACAGGTGCACTTACACACATACAGGCATAACACTCATACACACAACATGGAAATAAATTAATTAATTAACTAATAAAAGAAAACCAAAGAACATATTTAGATACTCTTACTGAAACCCATTACTAAATTAAGATAACTAACAAAAAGGAAAAAATAGTAAACAGCTAAGATCAAATAGTTTCTGTTCAACTAAATAGATACTAATGATGGAAAGACTCATATAGTCTAGTCACTGTACATTTGGCTGACTGTTAGCTTTGGAAAGAG